AATTCAAAGAACTTAGTGAAGAAGGCCTTGGTGTATTTAACACAATACGTTGAAATGAAGCAAAGCTTATTTATTAATATTTCCGATAAGCCACAAATATGTACATATACATGAGTCAAAATAAACAAACAAAATGGAGCCTTCACAAAGGTTGCTTAGGGGAAGTCTCAGCAATCGGTAGAGCACCAGAAAGAGAAAGCACCGAAGGGTGGTTATCCGGAGCCTCAGTACTGGACAGAACCCCAGAAGGAGGAGGAATTGGAGGTTGATCATTTGGAGCTTCATTATGCGGTACAGCCCTAGAAGACAAAGGCAATAAATGCCTTTGGAACAAACCCACAAACCTTTTATGATCAAGTAAAGCCTGACCATCAGATTCCTGCATCGGGTCAAGTTTCCTCTTCATGTTTGTAGCATAGTCATGCGCGAGCCTGTGCAACTGTTTATTCTCATGCTTGAGTCCTCTAATCTCCTGTTTGAGACTTATCACTTCAGCCGCCAATGATTCAACTTGGCGGGTTCTAGCAAATAAGCGTTGGGCCATATTAGACACATAAGCTGCACACTGAACACTAAGAGCCAGAGAATCCTTAACAGCCAACTCATCAGACCGTTTGGAAAATAGTCTGTTATCTTTGGAAGTGAGAAGGTTCCTGGCCACCACCGCAGCGGTCATATCATTCTTCATCACAGAATCCCCAACGGTAAGAGGACCAGTATATGAAGGATAGGCACCATATGTTGTCTGGAGAAGGCGTGGCTGCCTCTTCTCTAAGGTTCAAGTCAAAACGACGGTCGAAGGGGCCAGACATTTTCAAAGGTGTTGAAGAGAGAAGAGGTCAGACAAATCAAGATCTTAGAAGTGCAAGAATGGAGCTTCTACTGGTGGAGATTCAAGTGTGCTGTGGAACTTAATGCCAGCCTCTATAAAAATCTGCACTCGACGGAGCTTCAGAAATCGAAGAGGCGTTTGCTTTCTCAAAAGCTGGGCTGCTCAGAGACCACGAGGGCCGATCTCAGAAATATAAGAAGCACCTGCTTTTTCAACCTCGTCAGCACTTGTCACATGCACACTCAGCTTTGCGGAAATTACGGGCAATCTGTCGAAGATTTCTGGTGAAGTAGAAAACACGTGAATCTTACTGTTCAATCTTACTGCCAAAGATCTCTGACAAAGTTTAGGCACGAGAATTTCGAAGTTCTAGCTACTCTACTATTACCCACAAGGGTAAAGGAACAGCACCACTGCTTGACAACTGGAAAGTCCCTATGTGTGTCAACCTCCGTGTTCTGTGGCAAGACAGGCTGGCAAGAACGTCCAACCTTTACTCACATTCAAGAAAAGACTCCCAACATAATTACTTTCTCAAAAACCTAAGCGGCACCGCTTTCCGAATCTCGAGAGCCAGATGCCCGACGGGATTGCTTGTTCGAAAACCGAAGAGGCACAGTTCTCAAAACTTCGAGAGCCAGATTTCCTTAGATAAAGCTTGTCTGTAATCTTCACACGCAACATCAGCTTTCTAGATACCACAAACCACTTTTTCAAAGTGCTCTGACAAAGTTAAAACACGTGAAGCTGGCAGCTCCCACTACATTGCTGTGACCAAGAAGGGTAAAAGAATAGCATTACTACTTGTTATTGGGAAATCCCTATATACATCGACCTCCCTCCTCAACGGACAGGCAAACCTGCAAAAATGCTCAACCCTTTCTCACATTCGAGAATGCACCCTCAACATAACCTCTCGAAATACTCAGCTTTATTTCCCCCCGATAATACCTCAGAAAATAAGCCACACCAAGAACAAGAGTATCTCATATCATCAGGGTCGAAAGCAAGAGTATCCCATATCATGCTTTCTCCCTGTCCTTGTCTTCGTCCTTGTCCACACCTGCAGGACAAAGAGAAAGAGAGCAGTCAGTCGGAACCTGAAATCAAACCTCCAATCTGGAACTGCCTAAGACCTTTGCCTGGTTGCTTACTTAGCATTGCTCTCGAGAACTCATCCTCAACTGCTGTCAAGGTCATGAATTCCACCGGCACATACCTCATGACAGTTGATCAGATATTGGCTCTTTACACTGAAGCTGCCAAGCGTGGATGAGTCACTATGAAAGAATGTTCTGAAGGACCATTTAAATGCAAAGGTTGCACACCACTTCTGCCATGCAAAAGATTGAAGCAGAAGGTTCAACGGTGAGCTGAAACAGATCACTACAACACGACACCTTTCCATACCACATTCACTATTTCGTCTACAGCAAAAGTATCTCATATCATCAAGGTCGAACGTACTTTAGATTTGATGGACTTGTTTTGACCCTCAAATTCTTGAGTCGGCCTTATACTCTGAAGGGAACCAGAAAACCCTCCAGCACAGTTCAAGAATAAGCCTGTGGAAAGTTACTTCTTCAAAAGCAAAAGTATCTCATATCATCTCTTCTCCATTTGCTTCTCCTTATCCTGGCAGCTGAATGAGAGACAATGAGAAGGAGAACAATCAACCGGAAGCCGAAGTCGAACCTCCGATCCTGGGTTGCTTGCTTGGAAGTTTGACTGCTTACCTTGTCTGTCACCTCTTTCGGCAGATCTCCTAGCTCGGCGACTTGGGGGACTTCTACTATAGGGTTTGTATCGCACTTGACCAAGCCCGAAACTACAAGTAAGCTTCAAGTGAAATTGATACATTACCTTGTGCATCTTCATCGGTTAAAGATACCACCCATGGATTGAGGAAAAGTACTTCCAGAGAAGATGTCATATCTACATATGAGACAGATAAGGCACGTGAAAATGATACCACACTTCAATACTTAGAAGTTTCGTGATTACTCAATGGCTTGGATCTTGCAAGTCCCCAACCGAGGAGCTTCCCTCACTCGGGAACTTAGGGGAGCACTGTTTGTACCATACTTGACCAATCCCGAAACTACTGAGCATCGGTCAACGTTATACCGTCAAGGACCCAGAAGAGCTTCCCTTCAACCAAGAGGCCAATCACAATGCGACACGTGTCGACATCAGAAGCCAATCACAGCGCGACACGTGTCAACATCAGAAGCCAATCACAACACGACACGTGTCAATGTTAGAACAAAACTAGAAACTCTCTTCTATAAATAGGGATCATTCTCCCACAATAATCTCTAATGTCATTTTGTACTAAACTATTCACTAGAACTTCAAAATGAGAGCTTGAACCTATGTATTTGTGTAAACCCTTCACAATTAATGAGAACTCCTCTACTCCGTGGACGTAGCCGATCTGGGTGAACCACGTACATCTTGTGTTTGCTTCCCTGTCCTTATTCATTTACGTACTTATCTTCACTAGTGATCGAAGCAACCAAGCGAAGGTCACAAACCTGACACATTCTGTTGTACCAAAGTCCTCGCTGATTTTGTGCATCAACAACTATATTGTTGCATTAGTATGAATTGTGAATTATACTATTTGATGCTGCGGAGGCTCAGGTAAGCTTCAACTGAGTTAACATGTGATTGGTCTTGTTGCATTGCATATTGCTATGTATTTATGCATTTAGAGCGTATTATGCTGCACCTCGGTGTTAGTGCTCCTACTCGAGGCTAGGGCACACCTTTCACGTGATTGTTCACCTCCCGCACCACACACTCACCTTTTGTTGCTAGCCTGTCGTACAGACCACAATAGGTGGTTCTGACTCGTAGGTGACCTATGATTTATCGCACAGCTTTCACGTGATCAGCACTTGAGCGTACTTATTTACACCCAGCTTGTCGTACAGGTCACATTAGGTGACTCCGACTAGTGTGCAAGCATATGTTGATGAGCTATAGGTCCAGTCGTACAGGTCACGTTAGGTGACTCCGACTGGCATACTATTTTATATTGGTTTCACACCTAGCTTACATTTATTATTGTCGAGATATTATGACATGGCATACTTCAGTTTTCGTTGGTCTTGTGCATTGGTTTTCATACCTACGTAGTATAATTATTTTCTGGAAACTAATGAGTTTTACGGCAAAGAGTTATAATGTTTTCAAAAAGGTTTTTATTAAAACTTTATTTTCAGGCCCACTCACCCATGTTTTTCGCCCCTCTAGGTTCTAGTAGCAGAGTTTTCGTATCGACGAGGATTATCGGCAAATCTTGGGGTAAACGATTACCATTGATGGTATAATTCTCACCCTATTTTGCTGTACTGTACTTATGCTCTGTCATCACATGTGAAATTGGTTCATACCCGCTCACTGCGCACTCTTGTATTTAGGCACATTTAGGTTTAAATTTATTCACATTTTCCACATCAATACATTTTATGGCTTCACCACCTTCCAGGCGTCGGCCAACACAGCACAATTTGGAGTCCTAGTGGACATCCCGGGTTGGGGTGTGTTAGCAGATGCTGTGCAAGGCTTTCTTCAATATCATCTCATATTCCATTTTCATCTTTCTTATATGATACAATAAATTGTTCAAATTCAAATGTAAATAAGAGAATCTGCCACTATACTATTACAGTTGCTAGTCTTGAATAATAATGCAAGTGTAGCTTCTCTCAATCGAGAACTTCATCAAATGGACAATAATAAAGTCTAATGTAATATGTAAAAAACTAAAAAAAAAAGAAAAAGAAAAAGAAAGCGATCATTTGAAGGCATCGTAATGCCTTTGCCATCGTACACTGGCATCATTTAATTGATGCATCTATTGTTCAATGAAATCATTTGCTTGGCTAAAACAGTTAAAATACAATAAACACAATGCTATCCCATTTATGAGAAATCATGTAGAAGCAAATGTAAATGATAATGGAAGCATGACTGCGAATGAGAAACACAAACCTACCAAAAAGAAAACCCATTATAGCGTGCAAAGTACTTGCATCGTATTTTTTGATTGCATCATCCATTTCACAACACATTAGAAAAACATTGTTTGGAAAAGCTTTGCTATGACGATTAGGTTTTGCGAAAACTAATACGAAAAAAAAAATAAAGAAACAATTACTGAAAAGACAGAATAATGGCCTACTAATAACAAAATACACTTCTCAACAATGAACACGAACATGTGAGTTGAAATTTTGAAACATTCGACAACAAAAAGAAAGAAGCAAAATTAGAAGAAAAGAAAGAGATGCTCACTCAAAAAGAAAGAAGAAATAATAAGGCTTCTTCTCTTCGGCATCCAAAATTCCATCGCTGACTCCTTCAACCTTAAACATATTTAAAATACAAAATGGAAAAACCCCAAAAGAAATCATGACATAGAATTAAATCATCCAAGTAAAATTAGACCATGGACACAAAAAGAAATGAAAGCAGTTTAATTTGACTTAATCAGTGAAAAAAATTATAGATCTAGAGAAAAAAATTACCCAAAGTTCAACTCAGCACAAACATAAGAAAATAAAAGCCAAAATTATAGATATAGAGTAAAAAATTACCCAAAGTTCCACTCAGCACAAGCATAAGGGCCAATGTGAAGGTGAGCATAGAGTCCTGCCTTCTGTATGGCCTTGAGAAACCTCACCAGATCATACATCCCTTAAAAATTGTACTAAAACCCAGCATAAACCTAGCAAAACCCCAGTAGGTGATATTAACTATAAAACCAAATGTACAAAAGCATTCGTTTGTAGATCTAAATTCATACCCCCTTTATACTGGCTCCAAGGTGGTTTTTGTCGTAGCAATGTCCAAGACAGTGCACCCAAGACTCCTTATATCCACAGCAAGGTTTGCACCACTTGACTTTTGTATAATCTGGGCAAGCAACCGAGATGAAGACTTAAGTAAAACCATCAAGAAGCATGCCACGGAGGAGAAAAATACAGTACAAAAAAACTCACCCTCACACACTTATCCTATGAAGCTCCATTTGATTGCTCTAATCTTCATTAAGAAGATTGGTACCTATCATGATACATTAAAAACTTCATTTAATTAAAGAAAACAAAAGCCAGAAAAGTAGAAATCCAACACAATTAACGTAAAGAGAAGCATATGAAATCATTAAAATAACATAATAATACTACAATGTAATCAAACAGTGATTCTTCGACATTAAAACTAAAGCCAAACAAACGCATAACTTGTTAAATTGGGGAAACAATAACCCTTGAACTTTGTGCATTGAAGCATACATATAGTCGCGATGAAGAAGTGACCTACGTCGCTCAAAACCACTTTACGCAACGCAGGTTATACGTTTCGCAAAAACCGATGTTGCGCAAAATAATTTTGCACGACATAGGGACCTACGTCATGCAAAGTAGTTTTGCGCGACATAGGTCACTTCTTCGTTGCGCAAACCATTGTTTTTTTTTTAATTTTTTTAGGGGCAAAAATATTTTTTATTTAATTTTTAATAAATATTGTAATTAAATTCTAAACAATAATTAATAAACCAAGAAAAAATATTTAATTATAAAATATATGAAAATATACATACAATATAAAGGAAAAAACTACAACAAGTAGTCTTCTAGGCTTGATGCATCAGGCTACTGGGTATCGACTAGGCGAAGTGGTTGGGAGGTCGAAGGTAGAGCAAGATCAAGTGCTAGCATCAGGATTTGGAGGCCGGACATCTGTAAGGCCAGTAAGATCATACCAATCTTCTCATCCTGGGTTGAAAACTGGACTATAATCTCGGCTTCCCGGGCTTCCCAAGCTGCTGCTTCGGCCTCCTGTGCTACTTGTTGGGCCGCAAGCTGACCTTTTAGGGTTGCCACTTCCTCGATCTGGGCGATGACCTGTCCTGTGGTCGATCTGGAAAAGGAGGCACCCATCTCACAAACCCACGCCTTCCCCATACACCGAACAACCTTGCCATGACGACGATCGAGCTTCTAAGCAACTACAAGAAGTCACCAAACTAGGAATGCTATATACCACCAGAAATCCACTTGCAGATATGATTCACTAGTCACAACAAAAATATCCAATTTCAGAAAACTGCATCGAACCAAGTCCTAATATTTCACCAAACACAAAAAATAAAATCCAAGAAATGCCCTCATAAGCAACAAACCATATATATCCAAACCAATTACCAATGCATATATTTAAAGACAACCGATTAAAACAAATTAACCAACAAACCAACCCATATAAAAAGATAATGCGAAAAGACAAAAGCAGCAACAGAGGAATATTTGTACTAGTAATTCTCTGAGATAAGCCAACACTCAGCAAAATCCAACAAATGCCAAGATAAAAACAGGTTATCCTGAATCTAATCAGAAGACCAGGTATGCTCAGATTGAGGAACTAAGGTTAATGCACAAGAAAAACGAAGAGAAATATACTTGGAAGGGAATATTTATCACAATCTAATCACCGAAAATAATGCAGCCTGTTTTAAAATTTCAACAAATGCTTAGAACAAATTGCTGTCATGAACACTAACAAGACTGTCTGCTAAGAGAAACATCAAAAATAAGAAATCAACAAAAGATCAACTACTTATATATCAACCGGAATTACGATCCAATTCAAAAGAATTGGGGTTTAACTCGATGACTATGTCCATTTTTGCTTTTGGGAAACGACCCACTAACTGAGCATGGGCAACATGACCATAGAATCCAAGGGAGAAACTGCGGAGAAAGAAAAAAAAAGACTTACGTCTATCTCCGGTATTGTAACCCCTTAATACTAAATTGACCTCTGATTTATTAGTCAACTTTATCTTCAGATAAGTAATCAACTATGCATTTTTACATGAAAAGAAGTAAGCTTTCTCCAAATTAACAAGGATAATGGAAAAGGGATTAAAGGCTCACGTGGAATTGATTCACCAACCCATGAGGTTTGTCCTTCGAGAAACTGAAAACCCAGATACCTTCAACATATATATATATATAGGGAAACAACATGAGCATATTGCCAGACTTCAGTGTTTATAACATTTCATATTTTTCTAAAAGAAAAGAGGAAAAAAGAGAGCTACTAACGATGAATTGGCCAAGTAAGTTCTTTTATATTTAATCATGATGGAAGGGTGGTACTTGGCAGAAAATCCAAAAAAGGAAACAGAATCTTGTTTTCGTTCCTGGCATATTGATATAAACAAATAAATAAGTTTTCACATTGTAGAAGAAGTTAAGGGAATTAATTCTTCAGCAAAAAGAAAAGGAGACCACTAATTCTGAGCGTTTGAGACAGCTACTTACCACGCAATCCCCAAAGAGGAAAATATGTAAAATACAGATTCCCAGCCCAGATTTTGGATAAGGGGAGGAGCTAGAAGAAACCTGCAAGAAGTCCAATGCTAGAAATGGGTACCAATGAACGCGGAGTGCACAACAAATATAGACATAAGAAAACTAAATCTTATTTAGAATGACACCAAAAATTAAAACATCCTCATGTTGTATTCAGAATCTCAGATTCGACTTTCCCCTTTTCATTTTTTAATATAAATAAATAAATAAATCCAGACCACGAAAGACAAATGCTACAGCAACGCTCTTCCAAAGGTATTGTCCTGCACCAGGTAAAAGATTATTAGGATTCTCAAACACAAAGAAATGGACCCACTAGACAACCTGAATTTGAACAAAACAATGCTTCATGAACACCACCTATGAATCTATGATGGACAAAACTAAATATAAGAATGTCATACACGCCTGGCAATAAGGTCTGTTGCGGCGGATGGGGAAATGCCTTCTCCAATTCCAATCAAAACCCACTTCCCCAGACCCAATGAGCTTGTACCTCTGAGGTACGTTATTCCACGGCGGCCAATCCCAATCAAAACCCACTTCCCCAGAACCGCTTTCCTGACTCAATTCCCCATCAGAATCGGACCCAGAACCCGAACCCGCCCGTTGGACCTTATCCACCGGTAGCCCATTGACCCTCTTGGTTTCTCTGACGCCTTCCTCCTCCTTAATGCTACAAAGCACTCTCAACTCCAAGTTGTTCTTCGAAGGAAACCGAAGCAAACGACGTCGTCTGGGTGAGCAGAGGGGAGATTGTGAGCTTGTGCTGTGTGAAAAAAAAGCAGGAGGAGCACTCGGCTCTGAGCGTGAGCGAGACGGAGTGAGAGAGAGGGCGAGATGAGCGAGAGGGGAGAGAGACCGAGTGAGCCAGAGGGAAGAGAGAGACAGATGGGTGGGTAGTGACTGGAGGGTGGTATTGGTACGATTACCGTAGTATGCATTAATTACCGTACCAAATTTTTAGTATGTTAAAATTTATTAATATTACTGTATCAAACTTTGGATATATCGAATTTCGGCATGTCAAAAAGTTCGGTTGGCATAATATGGTAATGATAATTACCACTTTGTTTTGGGTATTTGGTTTTTTTTTTTCCAACCCAATTCAAGGCCCAAACGTATTTTGGCCACTCTCTTTGGGTTTTTAAAACTTTTTTAATTAATTATGAGAATTTTATAGAGATTCATTTAAGAAAAAGAAGTAAATAGATGAAAGAATTGCTAAAAGAACTTAGCATCCTTAAAAGAAATAGTACAAAGATTCCTAAATTTCATCTTTACATTCTTTAAAATTGTACAAAAATTAACTTGATATACGAAGCCAGGGAGAAAGACAACCCAATTTGATGAAGGAGAAGATGAGATGGACTGCGAAGAGAGAGTCGTCGGAACGGGATCAACAAAGATGAAATCCATGGCAAGATGAGTGAAAATATGAAGTCTCAACAGAGAAGGCTTAGGCTTTTTTATTGAGAAAGTAGGGGTTAGAGGGTGAGAGGATGATTTTGGATAAATGACTAGGAAAAAATTATAGAAGTGCATATATAATGATAATAATACATAATTACATATATAAATGAATAAATAAATTATATAATATTAATAGGAATGGTATGGTACGGTATACCATTGATAATAATTTTGAATACCATCATCATACCGAAAATGTATGGTACGGTACAAATACCGTACCATTACCAATGATACAAATTTTTTGGCACAAATTTGGTATGGTATGGTTGGTAATTCGGTTAGTATGGTAATTTGGCAAAAACATTCACCCCTAGTCTGGACTGTTTTCCAATTGAACCGTAAAAAAGCACCAATTTTTTTCATTTAAACCACCAAAATTTTAACAATTGCGCGACACAGTTATAAATTCTGACGTCGTGCAAAGTGCTTTTGCGCAACGATCACATTGTGGTGTCGAGCAAGGTATTTTTTTTAAAATTATTATAAAATTTACTAAAAATTGACTTTACTCCCTTCAAACTCAATTTTTTTTTACATAAAACCCACAATAATATATTTTTTCTAACAAAACCCATACCCAAACTACAGTAATAAATTTAAAGCTACTAAATAAATATACATATTGTCACAGCCTGTTCTGAGAAATAATGATCGTTGTTGTGAAAAGACGAATTTACCCTTGAGCGTCGGGTGTGTGTTTGTATTTTAGGTTAAGAAATTGGGTCAATTAGTTCTATCCCTAACTCATTGGACCCAATTAGAACTAAAAGATTAAAGAGTTTTGATTGGTGTGCATTTGGGAACCACTCACACATCCATACCCTTTCTCTCTCTTCTCTCCCGTACTCACTCTCTCCTCTCTCTCCTCTGTACGGACAACCTTGGACCAAGCCAAATCTTCATAGATCGAGGGTGTGAAGCACACCATTGTGTTCCTTGTTCCATTACGAGTTCAAAGGTACCCATTTCAGGTAAGAACTCGTCCAATATCAGGTTGAAAACTCAAGCTCCGAGTTAAGCACTATTCATGAACTGTGGAATGGTTATGTTTTAGGACAATCCAAGCTCACAGCGAGCTCTAGGAGGTTCTCACGAAGCTTGGAGTGCTTTGTTGGCTCGGTTTTGACGTCGGGATCACGAGGTTCAAAGGTGGCTGGTTTTGATAGGATTTTCCCGACGAGTTTTCGAGGGATTTAAAGCTCCAAAGAGGTATAACCTTCTTCCTCTCGTAATTTGTGGCATTTTGTGGAAAATGATGCAAAAACGAACGAGAAAAAGGCAGTTACAGGTCTGCCCATAATCCGGCGCCGGAGAAACTGTTCCGGCGTCTGGAGGTTGAAGATGATGCGCGTGAGGTCGTGCCTTCCCTGGCGCGTGAGGGCGCGCGAGCCACTAAAAAATTATTTTAAAAATATCACGATGTTCGTGAGGTTGTGTAGGTCACGTTGGTATATTCAAATACCAAAATTGAGTTTTGTATGAGAAGTTATTAGCTAGTTTTACCTATGTGCTTTAAAATAACGTTTTTATAGTTAATTCGCATATAGGTGAGATGTATCTCGAGGACAAGCGTATCCAAGGGCGACCTTTCGACATACCAGTGAGTGGGCTTTTGGTTTTTAGTATATATTATATACTTGATATTTTCCCAGAAAAATGTGTTAAATGATAGTATGCCATAATGCCATGCATATAAGTTTATAATTCATATATAAATTGGTATGTGATGCTTTATATATAAATGTAGTGCTGTGGACGCACAGGTAAGCTCAGGTAAGTTGTGTTTGGTTATTTAAATCATCGATGATGCGATATGTGATTGAATAATGTTGAGCTCAATAAACTGCACTTAGGGTGATTGTGATTTAGCCATAGATATGGCACATGCCTGTTTATTATGTCACATCCCGCACCATATGCTCATATTGGATCCAATTTAGGTGCACAATCTTGTCGTATAGACCTTTATTATGGTTCCAACTCGTAGGTGACTAGCGATTTATCGCCCAGCTATTATGTGAGAGTAGTATTGAGCATGATTGTATTACACCCATTATTGTCGTATAGACCTTTTGTTTGGTTCTGACTCTTGTGCAGTATATTGCCGTATAGGTCTTAGTAGTGACTCTGGTTAGAGTGACTTTTGGAGCTATGAATTCAACCGTACAGACTACCATAGGGGTTTCGGCTCATATGTTATATTTCTATGAAATTATCCTTACCTGAATTGCTTACTCTATTATATCTTGGCATGACATATATATATGATTATGATTATGTGATACATGAATTGAATTGATATGATTTATTATATATTTATGTATATGCTTATATCTTGATTCTGGGAAAAATTATACATGTTCTACAGCGAGGGGTTAGTTATGTTGATAAATGAAATGGTTTTGTAAAACATTTGTTTTTGACCACTCACGTTTTCTGTTTTGCGTCCCTCTAGGTTTTAAGTAAGCTTGCTGTTGGTAGCTTGAGGACGTTGGTAGTTCTGACCTATCTAAATAATAGTAGGACATTTCTGGTACTGTATAACTAGTACTTGTCCTATTGGACTGCACCTAGACTTATTATGCTCTTATTAGGAGTGTTTACTGTTGTAACTAACTCCTATCACTTCCTGTTTAGTAGTGCACTCTAGTAATTTGGTTTTTAATTATTCGTTATTTCTTATCTTTATTGCTTCCGCACTGTGCACATGGATAAGTCACTCTCACGTGACACCCAACATGCCTTGATCTTGGTCAGGGTGTGTCACATATCATTCAATTTAAGTGTTATACGTACAAAATAAATAAATTTAAATCTATTTAATATATATATATATACACACACCATTGAATTTGTTGGGATACGAATTCTACAAAACTAATTTCAACGATCCAACCGTCAAACTTGTTTGTACATGCTTCAAGATCGCATATGCAAAAAATCGCAAAAAAAAACATTCAGAGATCAAGTAACAGGACAAAACTTTTCTACGGTTATCAACAAAAAATCATGATTTAACGGTTATTTTAACTTTGATTTTGATGATTTTTTACAGCTACACTACTTGATCCTATATCAATACAATTAATGAACTCAATTTTCAATTTAAAATATTTACACTAGTTGATACCACAAAATCTTATGTTATACTTAATGAAAGTATAAATAAACTCTTAAGTGTTAGTGAATCTATTGTTTTGATGGGATACGCATTCTACGAAACTAGTTTAACTATCCAACCGTCAAACATGTTTGTATATACTTGGAGATCGCATACGTCAAAAATAAAAAAACACAAACATTCAAAGATCAAGTAATGGGACAAAACTTTTCAACGGTTATCAACGAAAAATCACAATTTAACGGTTATTTTCACTCCGATTTTGATGATTTTTTACAGCTACACTCCTTGACCCTATATGAATACAATGAATGAATTTGATCTTCAATTTAAAATATTTACACTAGTGGATACCACAAAATCTTTATGTTATACTTATGAAAGTATAAATAAACTCTAAGTGTTAGTGAATCTATCGTTTTGATGGGATATGCATTCTACAAAGCTAATTTCAACGTTCAACAGTCAAACTTGTTTGTATATACGTCGAGATCGCATACGCCAAAAATCGCAAAAAACAAACATTCAGCGACCAAGTAACGGGACAAAACATTTCGACAGTTATCAACGAAAAATCACGGTTTAACTGTAGTTTTAACTTCAATTTTGATGATCTTTTACAGCTACACTCCTTGACACTATATGAATACAATGAATGAATTCGATCTTCAATTTGAAATATTTACACTAGTGGATACCACAAAATCTTTATGTTATACTTAATGAAAGTATAAATAAAATCTAAGTGTTAGTGAATCTATCATTTTGATAGGATACGCATTCTACGAAGCTAATTTCAACGATCCAACCGTCAAATTTGTTTGTATATGCTTTGAGATCGCATACGCCAAAAATCGTAAAAAACAAACATTCAGAGATTAAGTAATGAGACAAAACTTTTCGATGATTATCAACGAAAAATCACGATTTAAAGGTTATTTTAACTCCGATTTTGATGATTTTTATAGCTACACTCCTTGATCCTATATGAATACAATGAATGAACTCGATCGTTAATTTAAAATATTTACACAAGTGGATACCACAAAATTTATGTTATACCACAAAGTTGTTGACTTTGCGCGACGAAGGTGTGCATTTGTCGAGCAAAATAGCTTTGCGCGACGTAGGTGCACCTTCGTCACGCAAAGCAGTTTTGCGTGACCGTAGTCTTCGTCGCGCAAAACAAGGTGCATCTACGTTGCGCAAAGCTATTTTGCGCGACAAATGCACACCTTCGTCACGCAAAGGGGTTTTGCACAACAACCCCATTGTGGCGTCGCGCAAGTTATATTTAAAAAATATATATATATTATAAAATTTACTAAAAATGTGACTTTACTCTCTTCAAATTCAATTGTTTTTTTTTTACATAAAACCCACAATAATATCAAGTAATGGGGCAAACCTTTTCGACAATTATAAACGAAAAATCACGATTTAACGGTTATTTTAACTCCGATTTTGATGATTTTTTTTCCAGCTACACTCCTTGACCCTATATGAATACAATGAACTACTTCGATCTTCAATTTAAAATATTTACACTAGTTGATACCACAAAATCTTATATTATACTTGGTGAAAGTAATAAAAACACTTTGCGTGATGCATTGGTTGGTATGTCGCGCAAACAACCTTTGCATGACGCATTGGTCCACTCTGGTGTCGCGCAAAGTTATATTTTTACAATTCAAATGCCATTCAAAATCCAATCCTAACCCCTCTGACTTCTTTTCACGCCAGATGAAGATGGACAAGCCATTCCATCTATCTGTGAAGCAAAGGAAAATGCATCCTATTAGGAAGATATTCTTAGGGCTGGTTTGGTATTGCTGTGCTTTGAAAAAAAAGCTGCTGTGAGAATAATTGGCTGTGTTGTGAGAATAAGCGGCTGTGAAATAAATCAGCAGAGTGTTTGGTAAATTTTTTTGTAAAAGTGCTTTTGGAAAAAAAAAAGCAATCTGATAGTGGGTCTTTTCATTAAAGGAGCACTGTAGCTCCATGTGCTCTGAAAAAAAGCTAGTTTTCCAAAGCTGCAAATAGCAGCTTCAGTTTTTTCCTTTGATTTCAGCTTATTCTCATAGCAGCTTCCAAAATAAGCCCTTTTTTTTTTCAGTTTGCCAAACACCTAAAACCCTCACAGCTTTTTTTCATGGGTGCTTTTTTTTTAAGCACCTCACTCCCAAACCATCCCTTAATCTAATATATATGTTGATTGTTGACTGTAATACATGAACAAATTATCTAATATATTAACTCATATGTTCACAGCAGCTTTATTTACAAACACAAAAGAACAATGTACAACAACTTTGTAGTCATAGAATTGTTAGCAGAAAGCTAACCAGACTCTGATTCTTTACATGAAGAACAAAGTGATCGATCTAAAGCAGAAAAGTATGGAGCTTGTTGGGACGTTCTTTTCGGAGTTTGAGAATTCTCATCCTTCCTTGAGCTTAATGGTGAAGTTTGTGGCATGAGGTCCGACAATCGAAATCTTTCACTGCTTATTTGTTTTGTGGAAAACAAAATATCGGGATCTTGCATGCAGTTTATGTGTATCTTTCTTGTACAAAATCAATACGGCTGATCTTCACTCAAATAAACTAAGACTTCATCCTAAAAACTTGACTTATAGCCAAAGTGAAAGGTAAACCTGAAGAGATAACGAAAAAAAGGATGGGAAGCAAGAGGTCTGGTGGAAGCAACTTTATGGTACTGGTGAGGTTGCATATGAAGAGTCCTCTAGAGGCGGGAATGGGGGTGCTGATGAGGGCGGGGAAATGGAGAGCATCTTGGAGACGCCGATGGGGCTGGTTAATAGGTTAGCTTCGGTGACTTCTTCATCATCTAAATACACAACATCATGCATTGTTAGCTGGTGGTATTCCTCAATTTCCCTAAGGAACCGATTCTCGCGTGCATAAACTGAATTCTCGTTAGCTAATCGAGCCTTCTCTGCCAAAAGTGTCTCCAGTTGAAGGCGGATCTGATACAATCCCATATATATACACCTCAGAAACATTTCTAAATTACATTTATTAATCTAAGAAGAAAACATTGAGAAAAGAACATACAACAGTTTCTGGATTATGGGGGGTTGCAATCATAAGGCACTTATCTTCATTTAAACGGCTCAACTGCAAAAGGGAAAAGACTAAATTAACTGAAAGTGGACAAAACAGCTTTGCGTAATGCGGGTGCACCTATATCGCACAAAGTTGTGAAAAAGTGGTAAAGCATTGTTGGTTTGGCACCAAAATCTTGCGCGACGCACAAAACGTCACGCAAACGGCCTTTGTGCAACGGCACTTTGCGCAACGAAGATGGCGTTGCCAAAGCTATTTTGCACGATGTAGGTGTACCTACGTTTGCGCGATGCCAGTCTTCATCGTGCAAAGTCCCTTTGCGCAAAGGCTGTTTGCGCGACGTTTTGTGTTTTGCGTCGCGCAAACATGTTTTTGTACTAATGATACATAATTAACTTATTTACCCTTTAAATTTTTCATTCCGACTATTGAGCCACATTGTGAAACACAGTAAACTGAAGCTCAATTGACAAATTACATTAAATCTAAATATTGAATTGCAAAAACCAACCATTGCCATGTAATAAATAGTAAAAAATTTGTACCCAGTTCATCCAATTCAATCTTGATCGGCTCCACACCAAGCCTTCTAAGCAACGATTTGACCTCGGATGAATACCTTCAAAGACAATTTGCAAAAGAAAAATCCAATTCAAATTTCTTGAAAAGAAACCAAATTTACAACAATATCAACACCCAAATTGTAAATTTACGTGTTTTTGTCACAATGCTTTGATCCCAAATTATGTTCAGACATTTTGATGTGAATATCTCCACATATGCATATAATATTCATTATATCAAAAAGGGAGTTACGGTTACTTTGTCATGGCGAAGAAAGGGAAAAAGGTTACCGCAATAGCTTACTGTTAGTTCTGTTATTTCATGTTACTGCAAGCTTGGAGCCACTCGGGGTTACCTTCTCCTTACTCTGCAATCAGACTGTTTGGGTTAATATTAAACACTTCCAAATTCAAACAGTTTTAAAAGATATATTAAAAAATAGTACCAATTAAAGAGAAAGAAATGGTAAGTATAAAGAAAGACGAGTGTGTGTACGGACCTAGAACTTGTGCAACAATTTTCAGAGGCTGTGTAATCCTTACATAGTATTATTCAAACTGCAGACAGGTCACAGAAATCTGACAGCTTATGAATCGTCTCTTGAGCACCTGGGAGTGGGTGGAACTCGGTCTTGGGTAAGAACCAAAATATCGATAATATCATCAATATTATTGTTTTTATGAGATAACGATATTATCACATTTATCCTTTAATTATCGTTCATATCGTGATAATATCGATAATATCACGATATTATTGATAATATCGCGATATGATCGATAAGGGTTATGCTTTATCGTTTGGGCTTCTGGTCATTTTTATAATCCCTCCACCAGCTTCTTTTTTATCACTTGGGCGATGTGGGACAACAGCAACAACTCTAATCTCACAATTGTATTGTGACGCTTTCCCATTCAACAGCCATCGGGTTTATCCAACAAAATTGCGTTTTTATTATGGGTAATGATCTTTTGGACTTATATGAGTTGCAATTTAGTTTTTCAATTACCCACCAAAGAATTTAAGGCTACTTCGATTTATACATTTTAGGTTGGGGAATGAATTTAATGATGAGTACTAATTTTCTCACATTGCACCATTAGAAAAATATCATATTGATATACGTCTTTTGGTTATTTGCTAATTTGATTGTTCTCCAGAATAATGATATGATAGGCATTCGATTCATTTGTGGGCTAACGAGGGAAACCAAACTAGCACATATGAACAAAAACTCGTCATCGTAGAGCTTCGGCTTCTATTCAAATTAGTAACATGAAAGGAAAACCAATCATACAATTTAGTCTAAATGGTGGAAGTGACGTTTCTACCTTATATTTACTACATCATAAATTTAATTAAAAACCTATAATTACCTAAGTAGAACCGTTCATCTCATTGTGGCGTCTTCGATTACCAAAACATAATCATGTACTATGTCTATATGATTTTTGTTTATACCATATTTAGGGCCTCGTATAAATACTCGGGAGACTTAAATGTAATTATGTGATAAAAGAAGGGGCAAATATGTAATAAGTGAGAAGTCCTTATTCTATAAAAGGACCCCTCACCCTCACAATTAGGGGAGGCCAATCTCTTAGGCCATGGAAGGGCTCTCTCACCCTCAGAAGCTCTCTCCATCTCTCTCCCTCACAAACAGATAAATACAATAATCAATGTGGACGTAGCCCAAATCTTGGGGTGAACCACGATACATCTTATGTCATTTACATTACTTGCAGATTCACGGCCGGATTTACGTTGTTCCAAGACCTCCGGTTTTGTGCATCAACAATTTTGTATTAACACGTTGGATAAAAATATCACTCAAAATTTTGATATGGCTTTCAAAATTGACCAAACAATTTTCTTTTTTCTCGAAACTAGATGATGTAAAATGTGATTAACCAAATTATTATTATTTTAAAAAAATAAAGAAAAATTAGTATCCGATCCCTAGTTTCTAATGTTCATTGACTAAGATCTTATCAGTTTTTATATTTTGATCAAAGTCCCTAGTATTAATGAATTACATGCAAGTTACATAACTTTCATAACAAAAATTAGTAATTGATTTAGAGTTTTAATACTCACATCCTTATTAAACTCCTAATTAATTTTCAATTCAAACATTTCAAATCTATAAAAAATAAAATAAGAATAAGTTTGTACCCATTAATTTTTATAAAAAAATTGATATGTACCCGTTATAAGAATAAGTTACTCATGTATCTTACCATGCAATATATAAAGTGTAAAATATTGTACTAATTCATTATATATAAATGATTATGGTGTGTTTAAACTTCTTTCATTAATTACTACATATCTTTTACACTCACACTGTTTGCCAGCTCGCTATATAATCAACTTAAATCAGTTAAATCCATCATGCAATGCATTTCCTTCCAATTTTTTGTGATAAACTAATAAATAATTGACTAAATAAACATCTTGCAAAGTTTCAATAAAAATTTCCAAGTTTTTCTTACAATTTCTGTGGTTTTTATTCAATTTTTATCGATATCGATAATATCCCGATATTTTTATCGAAATTTCCCTGTTTTTGGACTACCGATATTTCCGATATCATCGATATTTTATACCTTGGTCTTGGGAGGCAGATTCTTTGCCTTCCCACTTCCTGTGCCCTCCCGTGCCTTTCTTGTTGTGTGGTCACGGTTAAGCCACGTCAACATTTTATATTACTATTTCTTTTTGTCTTATTATCTCTATAAAAAAATAATATAAAATATTAATGTGACTTAACTGTGACCACACAAAACAAGATGGCAAAAGAAGTGGGAGGAGATAAAATCTACCTCCCTTGAAATATGATGGTTTAAAGAACTAATTAACACGAATATCGGCTGTCAAAACAAAGTAGATAACCAATCATGACTATGCTTAAAAGAAAGGAAAAACTATATGGCAGGAGAAAAAAAAAGTGCAAGTAAAGTTTCAGCAGCAATCTCAAAGCATTTATCAGTTAAAGCATGGGTTTCTAATAAATGCCATCTCAACATTGAACATATTAGGCTACAGATATGCTGTTCCAAAAATGATGTCTCCTTAATGTCTTATTCTTTATTTTTTCGACACTTGTCATACCACTTAACACCAAATTAACTCTATTAACATTTAATACAACAACAACAACAACAAAGCCTTTTCCCACTAAGTGGGGTCGGCTATATGAATCCTAGAACGCCATTGCGCTCGGTTTTGTGTCATGTCCTCCGTTAGATCCAAGTACTCTAAGTCTTTTCTTAGGGTCTCTTCCAAAGTTTTCCTAGGTCTTCCTCTACCCCTTCGGCCCTGAAACCTCTATCCCGTAGTCACATCTTCGAACCGGAGCGTCAATAGGCTTCTTTGCACATATCCAAATCCCTTTTGTGTACGTGTTGGTGCTTCACCGCCCAACATTATGTGCCATACAGCATCGCTGGCCTTATTGTCGTCCTATAAAAATTTCCCTTGAGCTTTAGTGGCCTACGACGGTCACACAACACGCCGGATGCACTATTCCACTTCATCCATCCAGCTTGTATTCTATGGTTGAGATCTCCATTTAATTCTCCGCTCTTTTGCAAGATATAGATCCTAGGTAGCGAAAACGGTCGCTCTTTGGTATTTCCTGATCTCCGATCCTCACCCCTAACTCATTTTGGCCTCCATTTGCACTAAACTTGCACTCCATATATTATGTGTTTGATCGGCTTAGGCGATTACCTTTAGATTCCAACACTTCTCTCCAAAGGTTAAGCTTCGCATTTACCCCTCATGAGTTTCATCTATCAACACTATATCGTTTGCGAAAAGCATACACCAAGGAATATCATCTTGAATATGTCATGTTAACTCATCCATTACCAACGCAAAAAGGTAATGACTTAAGGATTGTTGATGCACAAAATCAGTGAGGACTTTGGTACAACAGAAAGTATTAAGTTTGTGATCTTCGCTAGATTGCTCTGGTCATTAGTGAGGATAAGTATGTAAATGGATAGAGATAGGAAAGCAAACACAAGATGTACGTGGTTCACCCAGGTTGGCTACGTCTACGGAGTAGAGGAGTTCTCATTAATTGTGAAGGGTTTACGCAAGTACATAGGTTCAAGCTCTCCTTTAGTGAGTACAAGTGAATGATTTAGTACAAATGACATATGTTCAAGCTCTCGTCTTCACTTGCCTTATCTGTCTCATAGGTAGATGTGGCATCTTCTTTGGAAGTACTCTTCCTCTATCCAAGGGTGGTATCTTTAACTGGTGAAGATGCACAAGGTAATGTATCAATTTCACTTGAAGCTTACTTGTAGTTTCAGGCTTGGTCAAGCGCGATACAAACCATGTAGTGGGAGTCCCCCAAGTCGCCGAGCTAGGGGATCTGCTGAAAGATGTGACAGACAAGGTAAGCAATCAGTCCCAGATCAGAAGTTTAATTTCGAGTTCCGACTGATTGTTCTTATTCTCCCTATCTTGCAGGCAGCATGAAGGATAAAGAGAAGAAAAGGAGAATAGATGATATGAGATACTTTTGCTTTTGAAGAAGTAACTTTCCACAGGCTTATTCTTGAACTGGGCTGGAGGATTGTCTGGTTTCCTCCAGAGTATAAGGCTGACTGAAGAATTTGAGGGTCAAAACAAGTCCATCAAATCTAGAGTACGTTCGACCCTGCTGATATGGGATACTTTTGCTGTTGACAAAGTAGTGGATGTATCGGCACGTGTTCTGTTACGCTTGTCTCCACATGCTTCCTTGTATCCTTCTCACTTTCCCTATCCGTTCCTCAGGCAGATGTGGTATCTTCCCTAAAAGCATAAGATGTTGAAGATGAGTACTCGAGAGCAATGCCAGGTAAGTAATCAGGTAAGGGGTTCCAGGCAGTCAGTTCCTGACTGGAAGCTTGATTCCAAGTGCTGACTGATTGCTCTCTTTCTCCTTGTCTTGCAGGTAAGAACAAGGCCAAAGGAAAAGACAGGGAAAAAGCATGATATGGGATACTCTTGCTTTTAACCCTGATGATATCAGATATTCTTGCTTTAGTGTACTTGTTTGTAGAGGTATTATCGGGGGGAAAGAAAGCTGAGTATTTCGAGAGGCTTCGTTGGGAGTGCCCTCTCAGATATGAGGAAGGGTTGAGCATTTTTGTAGGTCTGCCTGTCTGTTGAGGATGAAGGTCGACATATATAGGAGTTTCCCTAACAACAAGTAGTAATGTTATTCCTTTACCCTGCTTGGTCATAGCACGGGAGTGGGAGCTGCCAGCTTCACGTGTGTCAAAGCACTTTGAAAAAGTGGTCTGTGGTATCGGGAAAGCTGATGTTGCGTGTGAAGATTACAGACAAGCTTTATCCAAGGAGATCTGGCTCTCGAAGTTGAGAAAGCGGTGCCTCTTCGGTTTTCGTACAAGCAATCCTGTCGGGGATCTGGCTCTCAAGATTCGGAGGACAGTGCCTCTTCGATTTTTGAGAGAGCAATCCTGTTAGGAGTCTGGCTCTCGAGATTTGGATAGCAGTGTCTTTTCGATTTTTGAGAAAGTAATCATGTTGGGAGTCTGGCTCTCGAGATTCGGAGGACGGTGCCTCTTCGATTTTAGAGCAAACAATCTTGGTGGGAGTGTTTTCTCGAATGTAAGTAAAGGTTGGGCATGTTTGCTAGTCTACCTTGCCACGGAGCACAGAGGTTGACACACAGGGACTTTCCAATTATCCAGCAACGGTGTTGTTCCTTTACCCTTGTGGGTAATAATATGGTAGC